CGTCTTCTTGATGATGCCGAAAATGAGAGAAACAGCCAAAGAGCACGGGACGACACCGCATATCACGGTGACAGCCAGCGGGGCAGGACATTTGGTGAGTAGTGTGGTCGGTACGCTGTGCTTCAGTGCACCTACTGACAGCTTTAGGCCTACTTCAATGAGCGTAAACAGGAAAAAATCTTCGACGCCCTCAATGCAAACCGTAGCCTCCTCGATCGGTATAACGTCTCTAAGCTCCTACAAGTTATAATCGTCAAGCAGCTCGCCACAGCGACGCGGGTTCCAGGCTACCCCCCCAATGAAAGGATCATAATTAATACTTTACATCCGGGACTCTGCCAGACTGAGCTATTCCGGTCTATGCCTTTCCCGCTCAATTACCCATTGAAGTTGGGTATGCGTGTTTTTGGACGTACCTCGGAGGTAGGTTCAAGGTGTCTTCTGGCCGGAGCGCTTGCTGGCGAGGAGTCGCATGGCCGGTACATGGAAAATTGCGTCGTTGCTGAATACGCGCCCATTTTGAATGGCGAGGAAGGCGAGTTGATGCAGGTCAGGGTCTGGGAGGAGGTTGTTGCCATATTGGAAAGTATCCAGCCTGGGATCACCAAGTTGATCTGAAGTGATGATGACAGGCGAGAAGCGGTAGTAGTAATCGCTGGGTGCACGGATAGTAAGCGCCGACAGGCATATGCTTAGCAGTAGTAACGAGATGTAAATTGGATAGCAATTATCCATTGGTAGCAGCCACGGCTGCCGAACCCCAGACGGCGCCTACACTAGGTGTTTTGTGAGATCAGATTGGCATACTACATCTCGTAGAGGATAGGTACATATTGCGTCCGTCTCACAATATCTAAGTACGTATTAAATAGAGAAAGAGATTCAAAAATAGTTATAGTAGACTCAAGTCTTTAAATCGCAAGAGGAGTTACTAGAATAATATTATTAAATATTGAATCATACTAAGACATCTAGAACTTAAAATATAGTATTAAAATAAATAGTATACTAATATTCTTCTATCTACTTAAAATATAATCTATAGACCCTTAAAATTTACTAGAGGAAATAATCTAGATTTAATTATAATCCTTACGATTATATACTGTATTAACAATACTAGCACCCCTGTAGTCTTAGTCTTTGATATATATGTTTAACTTGTTTAGCTCTATACTGTTTCTTGGGGTGGCGTCTGGGAGGACAAAGCAGAGATAGCATTGAGAGCGCGGCCAGCTTGTGTTGCTACAGTACCATGCCGCTGCGTTGCGCTGCACGCAACGCGGCAAAGGCCCCGCGCTTTGCTTCACGACGCGATGTCAATGTCTCATGTCTATTGTGCATCGCCCAAAAAAAGGCTATTGCTAACCCCCACGCCCTCCAGAACCATTGTCTTAAGATGACTCCTTGACTACATGGCTGCATTTGGCGGAAACAGAGATCTCCATGCGGAAGAATAAGGAGGAACCTTTGTCGGCCGGACTAATGATGATAGCTCCGCGTGTAGCGCTTCGACCAGCGTCAAGCGCATGCGTACGCACGACGCACGACGCACCAAGCTATTTGGCCGTGTGACCAGATGGGGCATACTCCAGTGCGCACCCCGAAACCCTTGCGGCCATACATTGGGGCGCAGTTGCGCCTCTCCTGGCTTGTAAGCCGACCAGACGTTCCTCCGCAACACGAAAGGAGCACGTCGTCGGGACACCCTCTAATGTTGATCATCGCAGGGCGAGACTCGAGCGCGGAGCAGCAGGAGTACTTTTGTAGCGTCCTGCTTTGACCCATTTCATTCGACACCAAATTTCTTTGGTGTCTGCCTAAAGAGGACAGTTCCGCTGGAGACATCGTCCGGATACTCAGCCCTCTCATGGCCAACTAAGATATATGAGCCATTCCCCATGGCCGCTGCCACACCCATGAAATGGAACGGAGCTAAAGTATAGAACCAGATCCAGAACAGTGCTTTCGTATGGCCTATCTCCAAGTCATAGCATTCGAGATTAGTGTAGATGCCGCCGGCCCGCTGTATGTTTCGTCGCGGCGCAAGCCTCAACAACTTTCTTGGTGATGATGGGATAGATCCGAGGATCAAGGCGTCATGTCTGGGGTTCTCGGCACAGATCCAAATAGTAGATGCCCAAGTGTCGATGCAACATTTGAGCAGAGATCTTTCCAGCCTGTATCACGGTTCAAGATCCGAATTGCCTCCTTGACAATCCGTGGCGCGCTTCTCGATCCGTCCAAAAGTCCGATGCCTGCTACGTAGAGTCGGAACTGCGTCGCTCCCTTCAGCCAACTGGTTCGAACATCATCTCCGATCTCTCGGTCGACTCGGAGAATCGGATATTGGTCGTTCACCTGGCTCATTGCCGCATCATCAAGCTCGACCAATACTCTCATGAATATTGTCGCTATCAAGAGGCAGAACGGGTCATTGAACGCAGTCACCTTCTGATCTCGGATCAGACGGAACAACGAGGCCGCGTGTAGCAGGCAGTCCTTTGTACTCTGCCTGTCATTCTGAATCCAGTAGGCCAAGTTCTCTTTTGCTTGCTCTGTAACCTCAGGTGTCGTCATCCAGCCAAAATAGAGATAGAGCTCTGTCTGTGTACTCTTCGAAGGATCGAGATGGTATGATATGTTTTGTGGAGAATCTCTGTAGACGGCGCAAGGCTGGTAGATTTCGGGATACCATTTCGAACTCTTGGTCAAGAGGAAATAGAGACGTAGCGCAAGAACGGGCTTTCCCGGGTGAAATGCCGTGTTGTTTGAGAATACGCTGATGTAGCCACCCTTGAGCGTCGCGATGCAGCTTCTTCTCCTCTGAGCATACTGTCGACATGAGAATTATACGCGCGGTCTCCCCAAGGTCTTTGCAGTAACTTTTGAAAGTTTCTTCGCTGGTGAATAAATCCGCAAACGTGGTCGTCGTGATTTGGGCTGAGTCTTGTGAGAAAAAGCTGAAGGGATAAGAATGTGAGGGGCTTACGAGGATACATCATTCTCTGCTTCTCCCACTCGATAGCTGAAGTGCATGCCCACAGGCGGACGCTGTCGGGCAGCTAGTCGATGAATGTCAGCTACTTCAATAGGTGGGTGATATCTCAAATGACAGCGTGCGATATGTGCGAAAACTGCAGGCGAGCGTCAGAAGGTCCACCATAGGTCTGGCTTTGCAAGGACTTACATAGAGAGAAGAATGCCAACGCGTCAAGACTCTTGCTCAATCCATTGGGCCAGTCCTCAGCACGACGCCATGGTTGGCTTACAGCCTTGCCCGTGCGGAATAAAGAGCCGTTTTGGGAAACAACTGAGCGACAAATGGCAGTCAAAATTCCCTTCTGGTACTGAGAGCGTAGCGAACTTGCGAGGCAGCCACTACACTGCAACAGGAGTTGACTCAGAAGTACGGCTTGTCCGAAGGCAAGATCACCGATGACACGAGGATTACAACCAACCTGTCGAGTATCAGCATGCAGGCTTGGCTTCAAGCCTAGGCTCGGGAGAACGAACCCTGTCTAGGATAGCTTCTGAAAGTAATTCTCTTAGCGACATTGCGAGGTTTGCCTGGTTGCTGACCTGCGAATGCTGACTACCCACAGCGCCTACAGCCAGAACAAGAATCCAAGACTCGTGGTTTGGATTGTAGGTAGCCAAGTGAAGAACAGGAATCTGTTGATGGGTATGCTCGAAGAATAGCTGCACAAATGTACCCAGTACGTGAGCCTCGGGAAATGCTAGGTCTGAGCCCAGCGCCAGTGTGAGCCTGTCTCTATGGATGAGAAAGGATGTTCGAATAGACTCATAAACCACGTTGGAGAATTGTGGAACATGAAAATGGGTTTCTGCCGCAAGAGTGTCGTTGTCGTCTATCATTGATGACACGTATCGTGGCAAATGTTCCCTCGGCCGGAGACTGACGACGGATGTATTCACAGTGGTGGTTGCTTCCTGAGATGCAAGCCCTCCTTTCTCATCGTACGTATCCGGCGGCGTCCTGGCATACCGGCTCTCAGTAATAGCTCTGAAGCCTTCGATATCAATGTCCATCCCATACTCCCAGGTCGGAATGGGGTAGAACCAGGCCCCGGTCGTGTTCAAAGTTGGCGCGACATTGTGTTGTGGTACGAGCGCGCCCGCCAAGGTTGGCGAGAGCCGATAGTCCAGCAGTGCGTCCGGCAGTTCGTGGTTCAGTGTTTCTTGGTCGTCCTGGAGGTTGCCGAATGACGTTGAAGTTACGGGCACCGACGGCGCAAACGCTCCGCTAATGCCGTGATCATACATGACGCAGCCGCCTGCGGCGGCGAAAGGGTCTTGTCGGTGGACGGGGTCCGCGTTCATTTGCGGGGTGTCCCGACTTGATTCTCCATAATGTGAACTCGTCTGTGAGGAAGATATTACATCGAACCCATCATCAGGTTGATTTGTGGCGACCGAGCATTGCAGCTTCCGCTTCCTGCAACGGCCACAAGGCATATCTCGATCGCATTTCTGTTTCGACTTTGCACAGTTGGTGCATGCTTTGGACGGACCTGTATCGGTTGCTTTTGCCAGCGCGGCGGTTTGCTCGGGAGATAGTTGATGTGTTCCAAGATGTCGTTTCAGGGTATCTCTGTTGATGGTCAGCACACCAGCTTTCTCATATTTTTTTGCTGACGCGTCGCCCTTGCAGTACCTCCTGGAGAACTGTCGAGCACAGAGCGGGCAATGGAAGGGGAGATGGCCAAGATGTCGCCTCTCGTGTCGTTGCAGATGTTCCGCGCGGCGAAAAGTCTGGTTGCAGTGTTCACAG